TGGGAACGGGCACGAAAGACAGCGAGGGTGGCAGCGTGCTCTGCTTGCGTCGGCACGCGGGTGGCCTCGCGCTATGTCAACGGCATTGCCCTCTCCAATCGTCCAAAGCAGCCCCTCTCCTCTCCGCCATCCTGCTCCCCAGAGATGCCCCTGCGTGTTCCCTTCGTCGACTCCCCTCTTGGACTCCTCCACCTCTTGTCACTCGTCGTCGTCGTCGTCGTCTTCATCCTCCTCCTCCTCCCCGTTCCCCCCCTTGCCCTCGCCCCCCCCCGCCATTCCCTCGCCCGCCCCCTATATGCTTGTAATGAATCATGAGGGGGGAGGGGGGCAGGGGTAGCGGGATCAAGTTGACTCTGAAGAACGGCGAGAAGGACATCAAGGGCTGGTCCGCCTTGAAGGTCGCCGTCAAGCAGTGGCTGTACGACGCGAACAAGCTGCAGCCTAGGCGCCCCCTCCCGCAGACGGGGGGGGGAGGATCAGGAGGAGGATGGCGAGGAGGGAAAGCTTGGCGAGGCGGGGGGGGAGGAAGGGGGGCCCCCCGACGGCCCGCGAGGAAAGAGGAGGAGGAGGAGGGCAAGGAGAAGGAGGACTGCGCGCATCAGACAGCGGGGCGCATCAGACTCCTCCCTCCCCCTTGCCCTCGCCTGCCTCCCCCCCGCCATTCCCGGCCCCTTGCGCCCCCCCTCGCCGCGGCCAGGCCGAGTGATCCTGACGCGTTTGAGCTGCTGAACCTGCGGCCTGAGGAGCCGGGCGAGGACGGCGACAAGGGGCGGCATTACTGAGATCTTCTGCCGCGAGCTGATGGACAAGGTGCAGGACCAAGCCGAGGCCATGGCCAAGCAGGCGCCGGGTTTCGCGGCGGCTCTGACGGCGGGGGGGGGGAAGGGGGGAGAGAGGGAGAGAGAGAGAGAGAGAGAGAGAGAGAGAGAGAGAGAGAGAGAGAGAGAGAGAGAGAGAGAGAGAGAGAGAGAGAGGGACTTGTATATATCTGCACGTATTCAGATAGAGAGAGAGAGATAGAGAGAGAGTGAACGAGAGAGAGAGAGAGAGAGGACAAATAGAAACGAGTAACAAGCATTTGCACATAACTACGGATGTGGGCGGTGGCAGGAACGCATGCGCCCAAAGTGGGGGAGGAGGAGTAGGTGCCAGGAATGGGGGCTTTTGCAGAAGAGGCAGAGGAAGAGAAATGGGGGGGGGGGAGAAAGGAGAGAGAGAGAGAGAGAGAGAGAGAGAGAGAGAGAGAGAGAGAGAGAGAGAGAGAAGAGAGAGAGAAGAGAGAGAGAGAGAGAGAGAGAGAGAGAGAGAGGAGAAGAGAGGGAGGAGAGAGAGAGAGAGAGAGAGAGAGAGAGAGAGAGAGAGAGAGCGAGAGGAGCAATACAGAGGGGGCGGCGGCGGTTTGCATTGAGGGGTTACCGGAGGGGGCGGAGGAGGCGCATGCGCTGCCCAAAGCTGGGGGGGGGGGGGTAGGTGGGGAAGCCAGGGGGAGGGTCGGTCTGGATCCCAACGGCCCGCGGGGCCTATCAGGGCGCCGTCGGAGCATAGAGGAGATGGCCCCCCCCGCGCGCCCGCCGTTTGTCGGACCCGCCCCAAAGCAAGAGGAA